GCTGCTTTCTGCAAGTTGAAGTGATTTTGCTTGTGACGGTTTTGTATCATCCAAGACCAATTCTGGTACAACTGCTGAAAAAAATCTGTAAAATTCTGTTGCCTTTTCATCCTAAGAGCTACTGCAAAAAAAAAAAAAAAAGTTTCAGTTTGGACTCGATTGTGGTTGTAAGTTGAGGACTAACTGTACATGTAAGACAGTGACTTTCCAAAAAATGGTGGGCACAATCCTAGTTCCTGCTACGAGGATTCCCCCATCCGGACCTTTTGCAATTCCCCCAAAGGTCAAAGAAAACCAGATTCCATGCAGCTCTGAACCCTTAAGGCAAACCAAATACAAGTGGTCCTCGCTTAATGGCCGGTTGCTTAGCAAGTGTTCTAAGTTATGACTGATCTCCTCAGAACTACTTAACCTAATTTTGGAATTTTGACAGCCATGAACACACACGCACACATATTTATGACCAATTACAACATCCCACACAGTCATGTGATTGATGTTTTCTAGGTTTTTTGCCAACTTCCAACAATTCCTTCTGGTTTCCAGTTAAAAATGCCCATTGGGGAAAATTGACTGATTTAACAACCAGTGTTCACTTAACGACCATGGTGTTTGTCTAACCCAGGGGTCTGCAACCTTAAACACTCAAAGAACCATTTTTCCATTTTCTTTTAAATAGGTCTCTCTCTTTTTTCCCCCTCTCTCTTTCTCACCTCTCTCATCTTTTTTCTCCCTCCCTCTCTTTTTCTCTGTCATCTCCTCTCACTCATTTCTCCCTCCCTCATCTCTCTCTAATCTCCCCTCACTCTCTCCCCTCACCTCTCCCTTACATATCTCTCCCTCTCTCTCTCTCTCTTGCATGTATGTGTTCCCTCTTGAACCATTTTCAAAAACTGACAAGGGTTGGGTTTTTTATTTTTTGCTGATGTTGTTCTTTCTTCTTTGGGTGCTTTTTACTACATGATTTTAAATCTACAGTCATTTCAGATTCCCAGATAAATGAAGTTCTTTTGTGCCCCTGCTGTGGCTCCCTGTCAGTTGATCCCACCACTGGCTAGTCCCACTTCTTGCCCTCCCCTCCCATTGACTCGTTGCCTGCCCTGAGGAGGGCGGTGGCACCAGATGGATATCCGCTGTGTATTCAAGGTGGGAGAAAAGCACCCCTCTGCTTGCTTTTCCCCCCCAGCCCTTGTTGGTGCTATGTGTACTGGGGAGACATGTGACTTTTCTCCGTCCTGAGACTCTGGCTGGGCCAGCTACAGCTGATGTCCATGTTGTAATGGGCTCCAGGAGGAGGAGGAAGGAGTGCTGCCTCCCCCATTTGTGAAGCGCACTAAGTTTAAAGATGCTGCACAAGGCACTGCAAGAGCAGCAAGCAGCCATGGAGGTGGTGAGAGCAACGGCGTGTCTCGTCACGGAGAAAAATCGCACATCTCTCCATATTCCTCTCTCTGCAAGCAGCGAGCAGCCTTGCACAGCACCTTTAAACTTAATGCGCTTCACAAATGGGGGAGGTGGCGTATCCTCCTCCTCATTTTTGAAGCACATTACGTTTAAAGGTGCTGCGGAAGGCTGCTCGCTGCTTGCAGAGAGAGGAATATGGGGAGATGTACGACTTTTCTCCGTTACGAGACACACCGTTGCTCTCACCACCTCCATGGCTGCTTGCTGCTCTTGCAGTGCCTTGTGCAGCATCTTTAAACTTAGTGCGCTTCACAAATGGGGGAGGTGGCATCCCCTCCTCCTTCTTCTGGAGCCCATTATGATGTGGAGTATCTGCTGCAGACAGCTCGGCCAGTGTCTCGGCGTGGAAAAAAGTTGGCGGAGCAGCAGTTCGAGCTGGCTGGATGGGAGGCGGCCATAGGCCTATGGGACCAGCTGCAGGGCAAGACCGCAACCGGCAGTCCACCGCCCTTCCCAGCCCCGCTTAACCGATGGGGCACCTGGCTGTACTTACCTGCTGCCAAAGTGGCCAAGATGAGCAGGAGGCAGATCAACCAGTAGGTAAAGGCAATCAGTTAGTTGGGCAGGAGGCAGACACAGGCCTATGACTTGAGGCCGTGATGATTGGATGGGGGGTAGGCTCTGCTGCCTAAGTGGGAGTCGGGTGCAAACGTATGACTTGAGGCATTTGGATGGGGGGAGGCTGCACCACCTGGGCAGGATGTGGGCGCAGGTCTATGACTCAAGGCTGCAGCAGTCAGATGGGGAGAGGCCGCAGCTGGTGGCTGAGCAGCACAGGTTGACCACCCTTCCCAGCCCCACTTCCCCAAAGAGGTACACGGCTGTGCTTACCTGGCTGTTCTGCCCCTGGAGCAGTTGGGAGTAGGCCAAGTCAGACAACTAGGAGAAAAAGGCAGGCAAGTAGGCTCAGCTGCATAATCGAGGGAAGGGAGTGAAAGAGCAGCTGCAGCTATGCCACAGTGTGACTCTAAGGCACCAGCCAAGGCGTGTGAGGCCAATAAGTAGTGGTGGGGTGGGCCGAGCCAGAATTTTTACTACCAGTTCGTCTGAAGTGGCCCGTACCAGTTGAATCCCATCACTGCTTTTAGCCCAGACATTATCTGTTCTAGCTCCTAGGTTAATGAAAACCAAAAGTTCTCTATTGGTTTTCATTAACTTAGCTGGCTGTCATCACTCAAGACAGATTCATGCATATTATTTGCCTTTTTAAAATTCTGATCCTGACTTGTAAGAGAGAATATCCCTCATAAACGTGTCAAAGTACCCTACTTTTACATATTAATGTATTCCAGGGAGCTAGTCTGGAATAAGTTAATCACATCATGTCTAGGAAATTAGTTTAATCTTGAGGGAAAGTATGATGATTTATCCAAGATAATTTCCTAGCTGAACAGAAAATCTCCATTCAAACAGATTAATATCAATTTTATGTGATCTGTTCTTCTCCACCATTGCAGGCCTTGAAAAAAATAATTTCATATCAAATACCCAGACATTTTTAACAGAGGATGAATAAAACTACTGGTACAAATTTTTTTCTTAAGAACGTTGGTGTAAGCTCTGTGGGAAAGGTCTTGCCCAGTTATCTGGGAACAGTTTATCCTGTTGGACTTGATGAAGTGGACAGGGTCCTCGATGCTGTCATTGCAACCACCTACCTATTAGATCCCTTTCCTTCCTGGTTAATGAAAGCCTCCAAGAGGGAAGTTGGTAGAAAAGGTGGTTGCTTGGTCCTGGATGAAATGGATTATGTTGACCTCTTTCAGTCAAGATTCAGTCTCAGTTATGGTATGCAAATGACATTGATTGCACTTGATGATATTTAGAGAGAGGGGGAATGGAGGTAATGCAACTATCCTTACTCTCTTACAGCCTTCAGTACCATCAATCATGATATCCTTTTATTTGGCTGGAGTTTGGGGTTGGGTGGCACAATCTTGCACTGATTTGGCTTCTTTCTACAGGGCTGGTCACAATTGCTGTTGATATGGAATGAGAGAACCAGTTCATAGCTTTGTGGAATACCACAGGGCTCAGTACTCTTTCCATTCCTTTTTAACATCTACATGAAGTTGCTGTGTGCTTGGAAGTTGTAGGGGTCTGGATGGGGGACATCAAACTTCGGGTGAGCCCTGATAATATCAAATGGTTTTGGATGCAAGCAGCTTCAAGATCTGGGACTTTTAAACATCTTTAGTTCTGGATGGGGTTGCATTGCCCCAGACATGCTGCAATGTGGGGGTTCTCCTGGACTTATGACTCCTTCTTGAAGAGCAGGTGGCAATTGTGGCTAGGAAAGCCTTTGGACAACTTAATATATGCCTGTTGTGCCTTTTCCTGGATTAGGAGTCTCTGAACTTAGTCACTCAAGTCCTGGTTATCTCATACTTGGATTATTGCTGTGCGGTCTACATGGGGCTACCTTTGAAGAGTGTTTGTAAGCTACAACTGATGCCGTATGTGGTTGCATAGGCATTTCTAGGGATCCTAGGGTGGCTCATGTTACACAGTTGTTCCGCAAGCTGCACTGATTGCTGGTTTACTTCTTGGTAAAATTCAAGGTATTGGTCATCACTTTTAAAGCTCTTTATGACATGACTTCAAGCTAAAGGGATTGATCCACTCCAATTAGTGCCAGGACTGTGAGCATGCTATAGACACCATTGATTAAGGAATTTTGGGGCTCCTGCCTTTCGAAACATCATAACTTCCCCAAGGTGAAATCTACTTCCATTCTTCTGACCTTTCATAAGGTTATGAAGACCTGGCTGTGGCAGTTGGCCTAGGGCCCCAACAGGGGTTTATCACTCTGGAGGTAATTAACCAATTAAGACAACACCTTGCTTCCCTGTATGCATCTTGTTCCCTTGCTCCCCATCTTTTAATTGTAATTTATAATTCATTACACAATCAGCCAGGTGTTCAGATTGGATTTGGCACTGTTATCCATCTATCAAGCCCTTCCCAAGAAACTAGGTTGTTCTGAATAAGGTTGCTTTTGCAATTGGTGTGATGGTGATTTTGTCAAGGCTGATGGTGTTCAAGTGATGCTCCAGTTATTTGAGAATGTACCCAAGGCACCTATTACTATAACTATTACTTTTATAAGAATGAAATAGTCAATAAGGGCTAAATGGTCTATAAAACTCCACCTTACATTCTTTTTTCTCATCTCTCTCTCTCTCTATTCTAACCAAAAGGCCAAGTTACTAGAATCCATTGATTCCGTATCCTGATTTAAGGCTCTTTCACATCATCCTGCCTTCTACTTCCTAGTTCTTCAAAGAAAAGCTTGAATATTTGTGATTGCCATTCTTGTGTTGGGATTTAGTGCCAATTATTAATTACAGGTATTCATGTGCTATCATTTATTTATATTCTGTACAAAACTGATGTTAAAATTATAATCTTAATGAAGGAAGTATTCCTAATTTGAAGGGAACTTATGAATTCTAATTAGTAACATGATATTTAATAAAATATATATGTAAATGTATTAATTTACACAGATTTTTATTGTTGGTCAACTCTGAAATTTACATATAAATATATTTGTATTTTAGGCTCTCTAAATCAATATCTCCAAAGATAAAGTTAATGCTTTTTTTAGCATGTTCTTCATTTGAGGACCCATGAACAGCATTGTGCATAATATCAGTTGCAAATTTAGCACGTATTGAATTAGGATGTGTTTCTTTTGCTTTTGTTGGATCTGTTGGTCCCATTAATTGTCGCCATTCGTCCACAGCATTTTCTTTAGTTAGAACCATGACCATTGATGGGCCTCTAGAAAAACAATACAACCAACAATGTATGAGATGCTCACAATCTCATTTTGCAATGAGAACATTAAGTTGACATAACTAACGCTGCATGAGATAAACAAGTCAAGTCCATTTGAGGTACACTGTCTATTTGATTATTTCACAGTGTCAGAGGTTTATGTTACAGAAGCCAAGTCTTATTAAACATACATTATATAACAGTAGATTATTTCCTTAATAGTCCCATCTCTGCTTGTATTTGTACTTTGTTGTATGTCAGTCTGCCTGTTCTCCATGTATATAAAATCCTACGATATGTTATAATCATATGCTAAACTTAGAGGTGCTATTTTTGATTACTTTTCTTCCCTCATTCAGGTGAATGAAGATGCTCCATAGATAAAAAAAGTACTGTAGTTCTCTGTTTCTGCTCTTCAAAAGAGATATTAGATAGCATTCTTCAAAAAGTTATTGTGGCCATGGCAAGACCAAAATTGTTTACATCACATCACATCACATTACACAATTAAATTCAGTTAATACAATTTATCTTCAGTAATGTTCTCTTTTTGTCACATAGCAAAAATTGCAATTCAGCAATTGGACTTGGAAATCTCTGCACCAAAACTATTTGAAGGCAAGCAAGTAATATAAACACTACAGCTAACAAAATGTAATAACTGGGATCTGCAGAGATGCCAAAAACATGACAGAAATCTAGCAGATAATACTGTCAAAAATATCCAGTTTTTTATCATCATACAAAACTTTCATGACACTGGAACTTGGTATTTGCTAGAGATAAGAAAAATAGAGAATATCCTACAGTGCAGTAGCACTTAAGGCTTATCAACCAGATTCTGTTTTTCATGATTCTAGGAAGGAAGTAGCCACAAAATTAAAAAGTGGATTGCCGGATAGGGCTGGAATCAGACATTTATACATTGCCACATTTCCACTCTAATAAGCCAATTGAATAGTGCTGGGATAAAACTTGTAAAACATTGCCCTACCAAGCTGCCACAAGTTCGGTAAAAATAAATATCCTCTCCCCAAGAAAGAGAAAAAGAGTCAGACACCTGATGGTTTGCATATGGCTCCTTTCCCTATTGAAAATGTCACCAATTTCATGCTTGTTTACTTTTGCTAGGCAACTAAGTAGGCAATGCAATAATATCAAGCCTGAAATATCATTGGCAATTGTATATTATATATATATAATATACATATATAAACATATACATATGTATTATATGTATGTTGATGTATATATGTATGTTTATTATAAATGTTTGGGTAGGGAAAGAAATTGAAATAGAACATTAACATGATTTCCAGCTCCTGTGCAGGGAAACAAGAAGACCCAGACAATCAGCTGGGACTTGGGAGGCAGAGAATAGATGGGTTGGGGCCAGTCAGAAGTGATATTTGCCGGTTTTCCAAACTACTCAAAATGTCCACTACTGGTTTTCCAGAACTGGTCAGAATCTGCTGAATACCACCTGTGATTTCTGTTACATTACAATTGAATCAAAAGTCAATCTGCTCAACTATTGAAAAGATAACAACATGGGATCAAAGGAGAGTGAAATCACTCCACCTGCAAATATAGTGGTTGGAAGTACCCAAAAATTAATGACTTCACTTGATGGACACAAAATCATTATTATCAAAGAAGTTTATTGGGAGGCATTCCTGTTTCTTTCACCCTCTTCTCGTTTGTTTCTTTTTTTAAATTTAACATTGCTTTTATAGAATGTATTTACACATTGCTTCTGAGAAAGTGGGCAGGGCTTTTGCAACTGCTAGTTTAACTATGTTTTATTCAGAGTTTTGCCGCATAAATTCAGTCCCAGAAAGATAAACACAAATGCTTCATTTAATGTCTTTATAAACATATTAAGTAAATTTTACAACACCAGTTGTAGATTTCTCCAACATGGAGAAAACTCAAACAGAAGCAGACATATTACAAGCAGCTCAACTTCAGCAGACAAGCAAATTAGTTTCTCTTTCAATAGACAGACTCAGCTTAACATAGCTTCAGAGCTGCAGAGCTTAATATAGAACCACACCTAGGCTACTTCTAGTTTCAGTTTCCAAACAGTCCTCATTGACTGACTTAGTTGCTATGCTTATTCATTGGCTGACCTTGTTACCATGCTCTATTCCAGTTCATGAATATACTCTGACACTCCTCCCTTCATAACTGGAATAAACATAAACTCAATTACCTTTAATATTCTTCAGATACCTGTATTTGAAGACCCACATTCATAGTTCCCTCCAAATACCTGAGAATTCCTTTTTATACCTATCCAAGGTGTTGATCCCCACCTTTTAACTTTCCAATGTATATGCAACCATCAGCCTTGCAACTCTTGAACCCAAGACCTTTCAATGCAGTATACCTGCAGGTGGAATCCCCTTGTTCCATCGCTCTGACCTGACAGCTCCTGTGTGTCAACCCTCTCTTGCTTCATATCTTGTTCAGCTTCTCCTCCCTGAACCCTGACACCATCAGTAAGTGAGTTACCATTAGTAAGTGAGTTACCATCACTAAGTGGATCACTGTCACTAAGTGAATCATTCCAAAAATTTGCATCAATTTTATTCCAATTTTGCTCTGCAAAGCTTGCAGACCTTGAAAACACTATTCTTTTGCTCCTATCACTAAAGCGATAACTCTTTGAGCCTGGCTCATAGCCCACAAACCTGAGCTTTCTAGCCTTTGGTTGCCCCTTTCTTCTAATTGCTTTTGGAATATGCACCCACGCATTGCTTCCAAACACCCTTAAATGTGCTAGAGATGGTTTTTGCCCATATAGCATTGCATATGGAGTATCATTAATGGAGGAACTCCACAACCTATTAACTAAATAATTAGCAGTCAATATGGCTTCACCCCAGTATGACCTGTTTAGACCAGAATCCTCTAGCAGGGAATCCTTCATGGTTTGTAAGACTCCATTCTGTCTCTCAGCAACACCATTCTCAGCTGCTGTGTAAGGATTTGTGTGTCTGTATTTTATTCCTAACTGTGCCAACCATTGTTGAAAAATTGCTGATATGAATTCTGAACTTCTGTCAGTTTGCAGATGACATAACTGTTGTTTATACCTTCTTTCTACAAAGCTTACCCATTGCTTACATTTCTGTAGCAGCTCTGTTTTACTCTTTAGTAAATAGAAGAACACAAAACTGCTATAGTCATCTACAATGACAGCTCATACTTAGCTCCTCCCAAACTGGCTTGCATTGGGCCCACCAAATCTGTGTGTACCAGCTCTAAAGCTCTTGTTGTTGGCTTTGTGCTACTCTTGCTTACTGGGAATGCCTTGGACTTTGATGTTTTCATACTGCACAATCCAAATATGCTTTACATCCCTTTAAATTTAAACTTTCTGCAAACTGTTCCATCTTTTGAACAACTTTGAAGCTGGCATGGCCAAGCTTATGGTGCAAAAGATGAACACATGAATCATGGTTTGTAACATTGCCAAATGTTTGTGCACATTGAACTTTTTGTCCCTGTAACATATAAAGATTATCATGCTTTATGCCCTTTGCACAGACAAACCCTTTTCTTCTTTATAAGACACTGCCCATTTACAATGTGGTCTCAAATCCTTGCTTGTCTAAACTAGAGACACTCAGCAAATTATGTTCCATTTCTGGGACACATAAAACATTATTAAACCTTGTTTCCAAATAATGGAATTTGCACACTGCCTCTTCCAATGATTTTAGCCTTCTTGCCATTTGCCAAGGCTACTGTCTCCAGCAGCTGCATCCATCCTGTAATACAATTTAGCCTTATGAATAATTGTTTGGATAGCCCCACTGTCTATTAGCAATTGATTTCTTCCATTACTATTGCTGGCTTTTGGAACAGCAATTTATCCCTCAACCTGTTCTTGCAGACTTCTTCTGTCTTGCAAACATCTTTCTTTAAATGAGTAGTTTCATCACAGATGAAGCATCCTTTCTTTTGTTGGGCTTTCTGCTTAGCTGTAATCTGATATCTTCTAATGCTGCTCTGCTGGTCTGTGGAAACTGCATGGCTCTTACCTCTGTGCTCTTCTCTGGAGACAGCCCGGCTGTGGAAATTTCCATTGTTCCTCTTGGGCCCCCTCCTCAGGAATTTCTCCTCCTCTTGGCTTTTTCTATAATGGCATTTCTGCTCTTCAGCTATCACATGGTTTCAGAGTTTCCAAATGCAATTTATGCTCTGGTTTGCATTCAAACACTGCAGACACAATGCCCCAAGTTTCATCTAGACTGTTCAAAACTAAGAGCACTTTTGGATTTAGGTATCCTCATCCCACACTGTTCCAACTCCACAAACAAAGTTTGCATATGAACAAAATGCTGTTCCACTGAATCTCCTGGCTGCAAACGAGCTCTATATAACTTTCTTGATAATTGTAAGCTGTTGCATGTAGATACACTCTCATGAACAGTCCTCAATTTATCCCAGACTTCCTTTGCAGTCTTTAAATTAGCTACATAGATAAACTGATCATTTTCCAAACTTAAGATGATATAAGCAAATGCTCTATCATGCAGCTTCTGACTTGTACCATTCATTGGTGCCTGGGGTGGATTTTCAACAATATTCCAAAGCTCTTTCATCTTTGATTCCAAACATTCCATCTTTGTAGCCCAAATAATATAGTTCTTCTGACCCAAACAGGATAAAGAGCTCTCTTTAATTTTTTCAGCCATCCTGCAAAGCCCCTTGCCTTGTTTCTTACTTTTAAAACAAGCAGTTTCTCAGCTTTAATTACAATTAAGTCTTTTTCTGGGCCCATAACTTGTTCAGAGTATTGCAGCATAAATTCACTGCCAGAAAAATAACACAGATGGCTGAGGCTTCATTTAACATCTTTATAAACATATTAAGTAAATTTTACAATACCAGTTGTAGGTTTCTCCAACATGGAGCAAACTCAAACAGAAGCAGACATGTTATAAGCAACTCAACTTCAGCAAACAAGCAAGTTAGTTTCTCTTTCAATA